GAGGAAGACAGGGTGCAAAATTAACATTTTTGTCCACCAACCAAAAAAAGCTTGTTAATATTAAAACTTTACCAGCCACTCAATAGATGAGCGGGAACTGCCCATTGGTTCGACATCCCATTGTTCCGACCATATTAAACTCATTGTTCCGAAGTCCGTTCCGAAATCATGCATCGTGCATTGCTCCTGTGTGGGATCAATAAAGTTCTTATCTTAGCCATCTGAGAAGATCAAATACATTGTTTTTGGTGCCTAACTGTTTCCCAAGTATATTAATGCATGTGTGAATGAATAAATGAGAGGCATTAACGTAAATTTCTTTGTAGAAAGGCGCTTTATGAAATTAAGTCCATTCACTTCTATTAGTTTACAGCACAGCCTTGCCACATCCAATATGGCGGCGATGTTGACATATCGCAGCAGCGGGCAAACCCACTTGATGCGGCGTCTACGTATATGGCCCAATTCCAATCCGGCTCCTAAAGACTCAAGCCCTGAACCCTCACTGACTTAACTGACGTCAGCTGTAAGTGATTGAGTGTGAGAGTCTGAAAGGGCTCCAGATGCTACAAATAGGAATGGGACAGCACTTATCCCCCTCTCTACAAAATGTTGTTAACATTGGCGGCTCTGGGCGTGATCATTTATCGGTTATTATCAGCATATATTCCACACACAAAGAATCTATCTATCTATCTATCTATCTGTCTATCTATCTATCTATCTATCGTGTATATAGATATATATATATATAGATATATGGATATATATATTCTTTGTGTGTGGAATATAACCACTGGTATTCCTCTAACTTCATGTGTGTTTATGTACCATCTTAAATCCTTGTTAATGTAATGTTTCATTGTTTATCTAGGCCTATCTGTTTTTTTGCTCTCCTTCCCTAACGTTACCGTTTGCGTATGTGCCGACCGTGTTTTCGGTGTTCCGAGGGCAACCCCTGTATTTGGCGTCACAACGCTATGAACTGTGGATAATTTCCTTACCGTAAGTCCGCATCGATGCTGACCTGCGGTAAGGGGGCATAAAGGGCTCACTCACTGACTCACTGACTTAATGATTTGACAATGGGACAGCCCACACACACACTCATGCACTTCACATGAACACGCCTCTAAGTCAATGAGTCTGTAAGGGATCGGATTGGAATTGGGCCTATATGTCTATGATTAGCCTCTCTCCTCTGTCGTCCGCCATGTTGAATGAGTCTGTGAGTGACGTAGTGACATGATGAACGTCTCGACCTGTGATTTCGGATGGATTTTGATTGGCTGTCAGTGTTTCTATCGTTCATCAAATCGCTCTGAAAGTGATCCGAACGATATCGTCCACTGTTATCGTTGTCGTTAGTTGTAGTGTGGACGCTGCCTTCCACTTGAGTTTAGAACGATTTTTAAAACTGTATATTTATAGTTATATTTATAGTTATAGTTCTTGGTGTGGACGGCCCTTTACTGCGTCTCACCAGACCTTCCTGTTCATTTTGAGCATATTTAAAAGTCCTGATTTGAAGTGGGGGGTCAACTCTTTGTACCATAGGTGTGGTGTAGTTTGTCTCACTGTGTATTGCTGTTGTGTGGATTTCATCCGCACTGAAACTACGTGCACTGTAGCACTCTATCAGGGCTTTCATCCAGTTTTTGATGTCTGACCCCTCTGCAACAGGGGTGGAATTGAAAAAAATATTTTTCAAATCTTCATGACCAACGTCCCCTATGTTTGAACTGTCCGTGATTGTAATTGCCGATGCAGGTGATGTAGTGCTCTGCACAGGTCTTCCTGGTACTGATTGGCCTCTTTGCCCTTTTATGCAAACACAGTCTGTTCCTGTTGCTTGGTGCCCGAGGTGTTGTGTGAGATTCTCCTTTTTGACAAATACAAAACACATATCCAAGATGAAATTAAAACAGAATTATTTAAGCAACAGTTTTATATTTTATTTTACACGTTTTGGATAAAAAGTACTGACTGTGTGGGATCTTCTCAGGTTGGTTGAGTGGGCTTTCCAAATTTGCTCCCTGGGGTGATCAGTTTCACCAGATCTCTGAAGTTCTGTCTATCAGAGTCCTCATGACAGATCTTGGGTGTATGAGAACAACTCTGGTGATGATTCGTCTCTTTGCCTTTCATGTAAACACAGTCTATTGTTTGACGCCCGTGGCGTCGACTGCGATTCACCTGTTTCATATACAGTACAGGCCAAAAGTTTGGACACACCCTCTCATTTAATGCGTTTTCTTTATTTTCATGACTATTTACATTGTAGATTCTCACTGAAGGCATCAAAACTATGAATGAACACATGTGGAGTTATGTACTTAACAAAAAAAGGTGAAATAACTGAAAACATGTTTTATATTCTAGTTTCTTCAAAATAGCCACCCTTTGCTCTGATTACTGCTTTGCACACTCTTGGCATTCTCTCCATGAGCTTCAAGAGGTAGTCACCTGAAATGGTTTCCACTTCACAGGTGTGCCTTATCAGGGTTAATTAGTGGAATTTCTTGCTTTATCAATGGGGTTGGGACCATCAGTTGTGTTGTGCAGAAGTCAGGTTAATACACAGCCGACAGCCCTATTGGACAACTGTTAAAATTCATATTATGGCAAGAACCAATCAGCTAACTAAAGAAAAACGAGTGGCCATCATTACTTTAAGAAATGAAGGTCAGTCAGTCCGGAAAATTGCAAAAACTTTAAATGTGTCCCCAAGTGGAGTCGCAAAAACCATCAAGCGCTACAACGAAACTGGCACACATGAGGACCGACCCAGGAAAGGAAGACCAAGAGTCACCTCTGCTTCTGAGGATAAGTTCATCCGAGTCACCAGCCTCAGAAATCGCAAGTTAACAGCAGCTCAGATCAGAGACCAGATGAATGCCACACAGAGTTCTAGCAGCAGACCCATCTCTAGAACAACTGTTAAGAGGAGACTGCGCCAATCAGGCCTTCATGGTCAAATAGCTGCTAGGAAACCACTGCTAAGGAGAGGCAACAAGCAGAAGAGATTTGTTTGGGCCAAGAAACACAAGGAATGGACATTAGACCAGTGGAAATCTGTGCTTTGGTCTGATGAGTCCAAATTTGAGATCTTTGGTTCCAACCGCCGTGTCTTTGTGAGACGCAGAAAAGGTGAACGGATGGATTCCACATGCCTGGTTCCCACTGTGAAGCATGGAGGAGGAGGTGTGATGGTGTGGGGGTGTTTTGCTGGTGACACTGTTGGGGATTTATTCAAAATTGAAGGCACACTGAACCAGCATGGCTACCACAGCATCCTGCAGCGACATGCCATCCCATCCGGTTTGCGTTTAGTTGGACGATCATTTATTTTTCAACAGGACAATGACCCCAAACACACCTCCAGGCTGTGTAAGGGCTATTTGACCAAGAAGGAGAGTGATGGAGTGCTGCGGCAGATGACCTGGCCTCCACAGTCACCGGACCTGAACCCAATCGAGATGGTTTGGGGTGAGCTGGACCGCAGAGTGAAGGCAAAGGGGCCAACAAGTGCTAAACACCTCTGGGAACTCCTTCAAGACTGTTGGAAAACCATTTCAGGTGACTACCTCTTGAAGCTCATGGAGAGAATGCCAAGAGTGTGCAAAGCAGTAATCAGAGCAAAGGGTGGCTATTTTGAAGAAACTAGAATATAAAACATGTTTTCAGTTATTTCACCTTTTTTTGTTAAGTACATAACTCCACATGTGTTCATTCATAGTTTTGATGCCTTCAGTGAGAATCTACAATGTAAATAGTCATGAAAATAAAGAAAACACATTGAATGAGAAGGTGTGTCCAAACTTTTGGCCTGCACTGTATGTTAATAAATTAAAAATAGATCCAGGTTGGAATTAAAACAGATTTATTTAAACAACAGTTTTGATTTCACACGTTATAGATAAAGATTACTCACAACAGTTTCCAGAGTTCTTGGCGGGAGATTTCTTCTTTACAGCAACTGGCCGAGAGCATTCGTCGTCCCTTCAGCACAGAATTTCATCAAATAGATGTTGCTCCTCTACAGAAAAATCACAAACTTTTCTGTGTTATACAAATATCTCTTTGTCTCATAGACAATACAGAAATATCTAAATGTAAATAATAATGTGTGTGCAATGCATTACCTAAGAACTGTGGTCTTTTTTCCAGAGCTGCTGATGAAATTTCCCACTCCTGGGATTCTTCTAGGCATCTTAGAGCTGTTTTTAAAACTCCAGTAGAATTTAAAAAAAAATCAGACACAAACTCTCGTAACATCTTAAGATAGCATTTTAAAGAAAAAAGTTTTGTTCCTACTTACCAGAAACAAGAGCCATTTAAGTGGAGAGAAGAGAGCGTAGAGTAGGTGTCTAGCAAAGCACAAACTGAGATGTGATGTGAATGCGTTTTTGCTTGTCATGGGACATGTCCTTAAAAAGGCCCTTTCCTGACGATCTGACCACTAATAAAACACTCTGGGAGGGTTAGGGCTCTCGAACACTTTGACAGTCTTTGTCCACTCTTTACCAGAGTGCACAAAGCAGTGAAGAAAAAAGTACTAAGTGTGAAATGACTTTTGATGTTGATAAAAAGAGGCTGATTTGGCTCTCTTTGTCCAGACGTGTGAATACATTTCATAAGGAGTCATGTGAGTCTGTGCTTGAAATGTCATGCCTCTAAATTGCATATTTTAAGTTTAAAATGCAAACTGTGCTTTGACGTGGATATTATTCTGTTCAATATGTTTTGCCTCATTCATAATTCGTTGTACTTTGAGTACAATATAAAGAGTGCCACAGTTCTCCGGGTCATTATAGGTCATTGGTCATAGTTTCTGTTTACTGATTGTTTATCAGCTTCAGCATGGAATGCCATTGTTTCAGTGGCAACTGTATGCTCATTTCATTTGCATATTTTCAGTTTGATTTTGTCAAACCTTTTCAACCTTTTACCCACCTGTCCTGTTTCTCCTGTTTTGATGTTCTCTTTTGTCTCCACAGTGATGTGGCGTCCCACAGACCGCCTCGCCACAAGAAAAGCCACCCTCCACCCACTAAACTCTGTGAAGGTTGCAAGTAAGAGCAAACACCATCACTGCTTCTCCCTAAATTGCATTCTTTTGTGTATGCTTTAATCACACTGTTGATTAATGTGTACTGTCCTTTTGTAAATAAAATAAACTGAAACTGAATCAGAGCAAGTCATGTCAACACTACAGAGATCATACACCTGACTGTGTATTTGTGTGTGCGTTTCCATGTGTGTGTCACAGAGAGATCCTTGACAAAGTGAAAGAGCTTTATTCTAAAACTTGGGAGAAGCACGAGTACAATTACCAAAAAATCAGGTAATTTATTTTTGATTTATTTTATTCTGAAAGTTGTGAAATAAATAAATACATAAATGAATCAAAACAAAAAGATAACCAGAACTGCAATGAAATGTGTCTATGCATACACAGATGTGCTGTATCTCCAGTGTCAGTTCATACAGGCAAGAATTGTCCGTACAGTTCAGGAACGTACAATGAGTATGATTTAAAATGTAGTTCCAATGAACTGTACATTAAGCCATGCTCAGGAGGGGCACATTAATGAACAGCTGCAGCTGAGTCCATTTGCTTTCTGATATAAAATAAAAATAATAAAATCTTAACACATTTATCTTTCGTCAGATGAGGACCTTGGATCCTGCTGTATTTTGCAAATAATGAAACTCAGTCAGTGCCAACGCTCCTGACTGTCTTATATGTTATTTAATAAATACCTTTGGGTTCCCCAGATTACAGCTGAGCACTCAGTGCAATGGTTTTGACAAGGCCATCATTACTCAGGCTAACACTCCGGTGGGATCCATGATTGTGTACGACGGGGAAAAGACGAGGACCCTCAAGGTGACATCGAAGATTTTTAGCACCTTCGCAAAGGTATGTTTGACCCTCATGAATATTACCATCATTACCACCTGCTGCTTGTTTGGTGTCTTGATTGTTCCTGAAATGTTTCATCACTGAGACTATTTCACTGCTTTGGTCTGGCAAGTTGGGTCACATGTCTACTCACATGTTGGCTCTTTGACACACATGATGACACACACTGGATCATGGCCTTTTTTTTATTTGTTATGAAATTTCCCAGAAACTGTTTTGTGGGGCGAAAAGCACCCACACATTTGAAGTGGGGACCTCTAGATCTTCAGTATAATGTTCAGCTGCTGAGTTTCACCCCCTTTGCAGGTTATATTTTTTTTCATTCAATATAATATGACTTATAGCATACATCATTTCAACCCTGCTCACACATTTTTTAAAGAATATTAGCTTTTGCCATCACACAGAAGATTTAGAGTCCCACAGGACTGATTGACCTGATTGACTGAGGAACGAATGACTTCCTCAGTCTGTCAACACATCAACCTCCTGAGACCCTGCGTCCTCATATGAGGACATCACATTTTGGGTTTGCTGCACCTTATACTCCATTCTGCTTAACTCAGACCTGTTGTTCTCGTTCGTGGACACTTTTTTTGTGCCATGTAGTACTAACAAAAGCTCGTACAAATAAACTACAGTAATACATGTAAAACAAGATGGCAGCCATCTCTGCCAAGTCAGTCTGCAGCTGACGCTGACTCAACAGTGGACAAGGTACAAAACCTGAACAAATTTTATGGTTGAAACTTTATTATGCTTAATATTTATTTATGCTTAATAATGTTTGCAGTTTAATATCTTATACAAAATCTGTCCAGTTTTTGCTACAGTAACAAGCTCAGACACTGTTAATGAGGAAGTAACTGAGGACATTGGGACCTTATTATCATCTCGTCTGTGGACATTGGGACTATGTTATTGCAGCATTTCACACAATTAGGAGTGACAGACTGTTCCTATAGACAAAAGGGACTTTCCAGCTCGGTGTAAAGAGCAAGGAAAATTCATACAGAGTTACAAAATGAACAATGTTCAGGCATTTAAATGAACTGTTTTATAGGCTACTTTATTACTTGTGGCTATTAAAAATAAACCCAATGTCCCCATATGAGGACATAATTTACTTCAAATACTACTTCCTGTTTAAAGACAATGCTTAGTTTTTTATACTTACCAGGGGCCTGTATCATGAAGCAGGATTAATGTCTTAGCAAGGTAACTTCAGGGTTAACCCTGGGTTTTCGGTCTCACGAAGCCGGTTCAGTTCTTATCGGGGTAGATCACCATGGTAACTTACTCTGAACGGCTAT